CCTCTGAGATCACAGAAAGGTTATGCCTTAGAAGTAAAATCTATTTCCCTGATTGAAGGGATTTGTATACCCACTCCAGTAAAGTATAAAAAATCAAGGCTTCTCACATTCATGATAATTTAATTGCTTGCCACAATAAAAATCAACACTCTTCAAGGAAACCAGAATCTCTACAACATATTATTCAACATGTTCAGTAATCAACAGAATCAAGTAAAAGTTATAAGGAAGGAAGGATGGAAGGCTGGAAGAAAGGAAGGGAAGGAATTATGACCCAAGTCAAGAGAAAAGTGACAATACAAACTCTAAAATGACCCAAATGTTGGGAATGGAAGGCAAGGACATAGCTATTCTATCTAAGTTCTAAGGTAGGAAATAAATTATGGTCATAATGAGTGAACAAATAAGGAAATCGTATTGGGGAAATTTAAACAAAAGACACAATTGGAAATTCTAAACTTAAAAGTATATCTGAAAAGAAAATTTCACTGGATGAACTTAACAGATTTTGTAGATGGTAGAAGACAGAGTCAATGAATTTGAGGACAGATCAATAGAAATTATTCCATCTGAAGAACAGAGGGGGGAAATTCAGAGCTTCAATGACAAAACCTTAAGCAGGATTAAGAAAACCTCACCTGATAACATAACAGTCAAACTGCTGAAAGGCAAGGATGAAGAAAAATCTTGAAAACAACCAAAGGCAAAATAGACACATTCACAGAGAGGAAACAACATGGGAACAGCAGACTTCTCACCACAAATAATGGATGCCAAAAGACAATAGAACAACCAATCTGTTTAAAGTATTGAAAGGGAAAAAAATTGTCAATCCAGAACATGAGCTCAATGAAAATATAATTCAAAAATTAATGGAAAATAAAGTATTGGATATGATGTGGAGAAATTGGAAACCTTGTACATTGCTGGTGGGAATATAAAATGGTGCAGTCACTATGAAAACAGTTTTTCAGTTTCTCAGCAAGTTAAACAGAGGATTACCACATGACTCAGAAATCCCAATTCTAAGTATATATCAAAAAGAATCAAAAACAGGTGTTCAAACAAAAACTTGTACGTGAATGTTCATAGCAGCACTACTCACAATAGCAGAAAGGTGGAAACAACCCAAATATCCATCAACTGATGAATGGATAAACAAAATGTGGTATATCCATATAATGGAATATTATTCATTATTCAAATCTATGCCACAGCTTGGATGAAGCTTCAAAACATTACACTAAGTAAAAGAAGCCAGACACAAAAGACCACATATTATATGATTCTATTTATATGAAATATCCAAAATAAGCAAATCAATAGAGACAGAAAGCAGATTTGTGGTTGCCAATGGCAAAGGCAAGGGGGGATGAGGAATGACTGCTTAATGGATGTGGGGTTTCCCTTTGGGGTGATAAAAAAAAGTTCTGGAACTAGATGGTGGTGACGGTTGCAAAACACTGTGAATGTACTTAATACCACTGAATTATACACTTTAAAATAGTTGAAATGGTAATTTTATTTATGTGTCTTTTACCACAATTTAATTAAGGCAAAATAGAGGCTAAACTTTTTTTTTTTTTTTTTTTTAGTTGAGAGCATTCATTGCAAGGATACCCACACCACACTACAGGAAGTGCTGACAGAATTTTTTGAGGCTGAGGAGGCTCCAGATGGAGGCTCTGAGCTCCAGGAAGAAATAAAGATCACTAGAATTGATAACTATGGGATAAATAAAAGACTATTTTTTTCCCGCCTTTTACTTTTGAAAAAGGGGATCTGGCAGTTTAATATTAAATTGTACAGTTTGTAACATAGATTTAAAACATAATAACAATAGCACAAAGGATAGTGGGGATGGATAAATGGAATTGTACTGCTAAAAGTCACCGCCATTTCACATGGAACAGCCCCATTTTTACCCTAAGTTACCTATGATAGGGATGCACAGTGTGATCCTTTGAAGAATTATTAAGAAATAATCCAGAGGCGGGCCTCCCCAGTGGCGCAGCGGTTGAACGCTGGGTTGCAAAGCTGCCCGCGGCCTCTGCAGCGCCGGTTCGATCCCCGGCTGCTCCCCGGCCACAGGAGGAGGGTCCCACATGGCGCGCAGACCCTCCTGCCGCCCGCTGCTCCCCTCAGCAGTGTACTTCGGTCCTTCTGCCTGCTCTGCTCCCTGCTCTGACTCTGGTGAATTCTCTCACCCTCCCGCGCTTCTGACTGTACACAGTGCATGTACAAACAAACAAACAAATAAATAAATAAATAAAAATACATGCCTCTTAAAAAAAAGAAAAAAGAAATAATCCAGAGGGATAACTGAAAATACAGTAAGGATGATTTTCAGTTTCTGCTTCCAGGTATGATAGACTAAATCACCCCCACTTAACTTATCCACCCTCCATAAACAAGTAGAAAATTGGACAGAGTTTATTAAACAGATGTTCACAGATGTCGGACAAGAGGCAACATGGAAAGTAATCCCTGAGAGAAGAAAAGCAAATAGGGTGATTCCTGGAGACATTCTGGATCGGAGCACATGGAGTGGAGACTAAATATAACACAACAAACTCTCTGAATTGAAGAAAGAGAAATCAGAGATTGGGAGGCTGAGGAAAACTGGTAGACAGGATATCACGTAGACAGTTACTCATGGGGTCAAAACTTATTGAATTGCATACTTCCGGGCTATATAAATTAAATGTATCTAATAAGTATATATGTTTGTTGGGATTTGTATTATGCAAAGTATACCTTAATCGAATTGATTTTAAAATCCATGGATAATTATAAAATGAGAAATAGAAAGCACATATAGCCCTATGTCTATTAAAGATGAACTTATTATCAAAAACGTTTATGGAACACACCCATTTTGTCTGTAAGGCATAGCACTCCTTACAGGAACGTTGGATAGGCCTGCACTTGGGGACATTTTAAACAATGAGATCATCCCCAAAAGCACAAAAACATGATAAACATGGCATTATGCTGACCCTGAAAAGGGCATCATTTGTGTTGTGAAAGCTGAAACAAGAAGGCAAAAGTGTTGTCTGTTGGACCTCAAATTTTTTGATGTCCTGTGCATATCGGTGGATGACCATGGAAGTATCATGAAATCTGGGGATCCAAATAAACTTTAGCAAGTGGGTAAATTCACAAATACAGAATCTGCATGTGATTAGGTCAACGGTACCTAGATCTATCTAGAAAGGAAAGTATCCCCAAGCCTCCTGCCTGCACTCTTGGGGAGTCCAGGGAGGAAGGAGAGGGAGGCAATGGGGGGAGACCCAGGGTAGACACAGAAAAGGGGGAGCAGATCCAGAAAGAGATCACCTGGGAGGGGGGAGCCACTCACCTCAAGGCAGCCCTGAGTCGTAAAACCAGAGAAAGCTGACTCAAGGAAGACCACACACAGAGGCAGACGCTGTCCTGGGGAGCCTCCCCTGACCAAAGCAAACCCCACACACACAGCACCTCTGACCTAGAGGCAGCCTAGGAGCTTAGGGGGACGAGGGCAAAGGGCCCACCACAACCTTCTTGTTTCCGCTTCGGGAATGGAAACCTGTCCTGGCTCTCAGGAGCCAGCCCCAACTCTATGACCTCACACCCCCAAGATCTCCTCAGCCCATGGGGTCTGAGGACACTGGGGCTCACACCCCTCCTTCCACTCAGCTTTGGGCCCGGGATCCATAGAATCATGGTCATCATCGCTACTACTGCTATTTCTGTTGTTATGTTATTATTTGTAGCCCAAAGAGTTTTAGGCAGCTTAGAATAAAAGCTTATACCTAACTTATAGCTTGTTATAACTTCATTATAACTTATATTAGAAAAGCATGTGTATGCTCAGCGAAATAAGCCAAAAAGAAAAAGAAAAATACCGGATGGTCTCACTCATAACAGGAATCTAGAAAACTTAAATAACGGACCAGGAAAATGAATAACTATAAGAAAGTGAAAATCAAAATCAACAAAAAACTATGAACCAGAGACACTTTTAGGGGGCGGGGGCGGGAGGGGAGGGATTGGGGTCAGAATGGGGGGGCTGCAATTGTATGGGGAATATAACAATAAAATTTATTATTAAAAAAAAAAAGAAAAAAAAAAGAAAAGCATGTGTATATGTAATGTGTGTATGTTGTAGTAAACATGTTTATTATCTAACTTGTTGATTTTTGTTAGATATATGTTCATGTTTTGTTATATATAATATATGCTACATTATACATTATTATAATATGTACTCTATCAAATATATAACAAAAATCAGCAAGTTAGGTAATAAAAAAAGATGAGAGACTAATTTTGCCAGAGTCAAACGCTTCTATTCTACATGCAAAGCTGGACCCTGAGCCTCAGGACCAGCCAGCTATCTTGGGGACCATGGTGGGCTGCAAGCTGCTGCTTAGACAGGTCCCACTTTCCTGGCCGTGAACTTGGTGGGGATTTGCTGTGGCCTCTGTCCTCCACCTGCATGCTGCCATCTGCCCCTTCAGGCCCTAGAGCAGGAGCCTGGCCCTGTACTCAGAAGGCAGGCCCTAGCTCTGGCCTCACTCTCCTGTCCGCCTTCTGGGCACCAGCAGAGTAGAAAGCCAGGGGCAGTGGGGTGAGGCCTGTCTACAGGTGACATAGTCTCCGCTGTCTCTCTGCGGCCATGGCTTCAAGGCTGGTGGGCCATCGTCAGAGCCCCTGCCTCACTTCCTGGGGTAATCGGACCCCAGGCGGAAGAAATAGACTTTACATCAAATCCCCTCCCCATGCTAGAGCCCCTGAGTGTCCTCCACCAGTGCACACAGGGACCCCACCTCAGTGCCCATGGGCAGGACAGCAACCTCACCCCAGCTTATCCAGCCCAGAGCATTCGGCCAAGAGGTACTTGGGACAAGGAAGGACTGCGGAGGAAAGGATCCCAGCTCTCAGAGGAGAAGAGGGGAGAAAGGAGTAGCCAGTCCCACCCAGTGCCCCACTCCCTGGTCCCTTGCCCCAGGACTCACCTTCGTCACAGTTGCTCCCGGTAAAGCCTGGGCAGCACCTCCACTCCAGCGCCGTCACCGTGCGGTAGGACACTCTGTACGTGGGTCTGATCAGAGTCCTGTAACTAACACAAGGGCAGCGTCAGGACAGTGTGAGCACACCAGACCCCAGCCCAGCCAGGACTCGGGATCCACTGGCCAGCAGAGCCCACACTGAGGCCCTGTGCACTTCTGTGAGGCTCTGGGTCAGTGACTACCCCCATTGGGTGTGTTCTAAGGTCCCTTCCTGCTGTTTTCCAACAAGTCTTCCAGCATGGTCACCTATGGTGGGGAAATGTCCCACACCCCAACTCCTACAAACTAAATTGTCGTCCCCCACCCGCCCCCAACTCATGTGCTGAAGCTCTAACCATCTCAATGTGGCTTTATTTATAAGTAAGGTCTTTAGGATATAATTAAGGTTAAATGAGGTCATAAGTGTAGGACCCCTATCCAATAGGGCTGGTGGTCTTTGAGGAGAGAGAGAGAATCTGCAGAACATCTCAGGGGAGGCTAGTGAGGGCACAGCGAGCAGGCAGCTACCTGAGAAGTCAGTGTCTATTGTCCCACCCTGAGTCTATGATATTTTGTCAGGACAGCCCAAGCTGACAGAGACACTGGCCAAGAACACGAAGAAGAAAAAGAAAAATGCCATTAGAACCCACACAGCTTCCAACCACCACCAAGTCCCTGAACTCCCACCATTTTCCCAATCATTATCTCCTTTGGTTGAGCCATCCAATGATTACTTATTAATTACCGACGACATGCTATGTTGGGGTCACAGATTGATAAGCTGGGTCCCCGTCCTTGAGAAACTACAACATGTGAAAGAGGGAGATCCTTCGATGAAAATCTGCAATCTGGCCGTTAAACCTCCTGCAAAATGCTGTGGATTCCATGAGAAAATTTCACACCCCTCAAGTGTTGGAATTGTTCTTGCAACCAGTCTGACACAATTTTGCAAAACTCCAAAACTAGTGAATATAAATATATGACCAAATTTCACAAGGGGGATAAATCAGCCTTTATTATTTGTGTCTTGTGCATCATTATAACTTTGCTGCTTAATCAAGCTGGCATGACTTCCTCATGAAAGCAAAAGCAATTGACTTCACCACCTCTGAATCTGCTGACACCGAGCAACCTCGTCGGTGAATGGCAGAGTCATGAATTAATTGGTAGCAGCAGGCGTGACGTTTCAAGATGCACTGTTGACAGGAAAACACACGAGTCACATCTTGAATTTCAGAAACACTGCACTAAATCTGAAAAATCCTGTTACACTAATTTTTCTCTTTTAAAAAATCCTCTCACTCATGTTTCGTAAACATTCCAGCAAACCAGTTTTCCCCTGGTGATCTAAGGGGAGGGGAGGTGCAGCCAGGGGCAGAAATCGTTGAAAGAGGAGTGGAAGTCTGCACAGAGCGGGGCGCAGCTCGTACCCCAGAGCAAACCTGGACCTTTGATCCTCAGGTCACCCCCTCTAGGAAGGGAGCTGGCCTGACTGTGGGGGGCTAGGGGGTGGACACATCATCGCTCCTTACAGCAAGTGGCCTGTGGGACACAGAGGGCAGTGAGCCTTGGTCCAAGGAGTACCATAAACTGCAGAATAAACACACACTCACACACACACACATGCTCACTCACACACCAGTCACATACATACACACGTCACATGTACATACGTGCTCTTATACACACACATGTACATGCCCCCATGCATGCACTCTCGTACACACGTTCACCCTTTCACACCCCTTCTTGCTGCAGATCCCCCAGCCTGAAGCACACCCAACTAGAAGAGGGAAGAAGCTTTCCTTGGCATAAAAAATGCCAGTTTTAAAACTAATTCCTGAAATAACATATCAATAGTTGGCTGAGAGAGACCTGAAAGCCTGGGCTATACCCATGTTGATGTGCAAGGCAGGGAAGGATAGGTTGCCATCGCTCGTGTAGAGACAGCAGCCTGTGATGCCGCTGATGCCATGAATGGGTCCCTCCCAGATTCTCAGTGCCTTGGGGCACATGGAGCCCCTAATTCACAGAAGGGACTGGCACGCAGTGCTGAACCTCTCTGAGTCCCTTTTGGGCCTGCATCATGAGCACGCTATGGAGCCCGGGTTTCGGGGGTGAGGAGGATGGGAGGGTGCGTGTGCATGGTGCTGAGGACAGTGGAGGACACACGGAGGCTACGTGCAGGACGTGGGCAATGGGCTGATCTGACTGCTTCCTCCCAGCCACCCCCTCTGCTGGTCCCCACCGCGGTTAAAAGAGAAGCCCAGCGCTTAACCACCTGCTCTGACTGGGCTTCCCCAGCTGACGCGGCCCTTGTGCCACAAAATGCCTCCAAACACACTGGGTGCTCTTCAGTCCACACCTTGCGTGACCATGGTGGTTAAAGTAATGGTAGAGGGCCTTTCCTGCATGGATGCAGCTCCGGTCCCTGGGTCCCCCAAATTGAGAACTTCTCAGCTCCTGGGAGGCTGCACCCAGCAGGAACATGGCCACAAAAGGAAGATATTGACTTCTACCTGAAGTGCGATGGTTAGGATTTGGATTACCATGAGAAAAGAGAAAAAAAGGAAGGTCCAGAAACTCATGAACACTCAAAGGCAAAAAGGAGGACCGATCTGACAGCTGAGTTCTACCACAAACAGCGCCAAGCTGAGAAAGCACAAATGCTGGACTGTCGAGGTGCCTGAGTAGTGAAAAGCCCTCCAGGAGCAGTGCCTGCTGGACAGAGAGACAGGCCTGTGCTCAAGCACTGTCCAATGTGATTAAACAAAGCAAAAAGAGAAAGCAAGGAGATGGAAAGTCCCTCTGCCCAAAGCTCATCCCCAGGGAGAAACAGGAGTATAAAAGTCATATGAACAGGAAAGAAGAGAAGAAACTGTGGAGGAGGATGTTACTAAAGTCTGTTTTGTTGGAGACGCCTTTACGCAAAGACATTTAAATATGACAGATGCATTAGGCCAATGGGCTTATGTTTCAAAAGGCCCAGGTACTGCATCCTGAGCTGAAAGCCATCTTTAGCTGCCAGCAAAAGATGTAGAGAAGAGTCCCTCATCCCCATGCTGTACAACATTGGGCGCTATCACCAAAGGCACTGTCACTGAAATGAACATGGGTGAGTTGGGCCTTGTGACAGAAAGAGGCCAGGTTATTTGGGTAAAATATGCCAAGTGACCAATAATTCTGAAAATGCCAGTGGCATAAATGCAGTCTTACTGCCAGCACTTTCATACAAAAACTCCTTACGCTTGCTGAAGACTCCACACCAGTCAGGAAAAGAACACTGCTGTGATGTTTCTGAATATCACTCAGGAGCCTGGCATGTCTACCGGCATCAAGAGAACTATGTATTTTATTTTAAAGTATATATACACACACACACATACATACATACCCACATATATAAATATATACATTAAAATGGCACAGCTGTACTTTATTTTGGAGTCTGCTAAGCATTTAGATGTTCATATAATTGAATGATTAAAAAAGCAATTATAGAAATATCCCTTAAAAATAACAGTAGATAGACTGAGAGTTTTAATTGAGTCCTCACCACATCAGGTATGGTTCTGAGAGTTTCACATTTGCTGACCCATAACAACTCTAACAGGTGGAAACTATCATTATTCCTATTTACAGAGGAATAAGTAACTTTCTCAATATCATACTGCTAGAAGGGGGTGGAACTAGAATCCAAACCCAGGCAGAACTGGTTCCAGAACCTGTGTCCATTTGGCACAGAGGTAGTTTACCCCCTACATCAGCACAAGGTACTGACCTCCAGTCCTTGAACCAGTGGGAGAGCTCTAGGTCTCTCTCTGCTCCCTCATTCTGAGGGCATAGGGCTGGCTGGGCTCACTCCAGGAACAGAAGAAACCAGATGAATTTCAAAGTTGAGACCAGGGAGCACCAGTAGGTGGCGCTGCTTCACCAGCCCAGAGGGCAAGAGCTCAGGTAGGCAGCCCTTTGAGTCACACCTGAACACCCAAGGCAGGCTCCGTGTTAGTGGCCTGTCCCCAGCCTACACAAGAACTGAACTCCTCCTCCATGAAAAACTGCCATGTCTTCTGCTGAAACCCAATCTGCACACCCAGCAGTATCTCTAAAATGCAGATCTGGTTTTGTGACCGTGCTCTCTCAAAATCTTCCACGGCACCCAAAGACTGAAGAACCAACTCTTTAGGTCAGCAAACAAGGTCCTGCCTACAGTTCTACCCTCCCCTCTTCCTACCACCACACCTCACTGAGCTGCTCGTCCTGCTCCCAGGCTTTGTGCACATGCACGCTTCTCCGTCTATGCCTTTCCTCCTTTACTCTGCCTGAGAAAAATCCCTGAGAACCTTCAGGGTGTGCTCAAGTCACTTCCTCTTCACTGAAGCACCCCCACCTCTTGCCAGAATCAATAGTCTCCTTGCTCGTACAGAGCTTGCTTAAAACTCAATGCTCATGGGCCTCCCTGGTGATGCAAGGGGTTAAGACACAACCTATGAAGCTGTCTGCAGCCACTGCAGCACGAGTTCGATCCCTGGCCAGGGAGCTACCCACATGGCGCAGCAGACCTCTCCCAACTCACCCGTTGCTCTCCTCAGCAGGGTATTTTGGTCAATCTGCCAGTTCTGTTCCCCACGCTGTCTCTGGTGAATCCTCTCACCGCCCCCCCACACACACCTCTGGCCTGTACCCCAGTTCTTGTATGCATAAATAAATCTTTAAAAAAAAAAACAACTCAATGCTCATCCTTGTACTCTGCCATTATGTACCAGAGCCCAAGTGGTGCCAGGCACTGGGAATACAGGCATGAAGAAGCAGGCATGGGCTCCTCTCTGCCAGAGTTTGTGGCACTAATCACATGTTCACATACGTGAATATGACTACACACTGGTAAGTGCTATGAAAGAAAGCACCAAATTTGATGATGAAATTTTTTCATGTTTCATTAAAATATAATTATGTTTTATAACATGCAGTAAAATAATCAATGTAGTGTTTCACTCAATGAATTTTTACTTATGTGGACCCCCAACATTCATATTACTCAAAAATCCCCTGTGGCCCCTCCAAGTTAATC